CGGGGATCCCTGTGCCCTGTTCCCGGTGCTCTGTGTGCTCTGTCCCCAGTGCTCTGTATGCCCTGTCCCCGGGATCCCTGTGCCCTGTTCCCGGTGCTCTGTGTGCCCTGTCCCCGGCGCCCACTCACAGCCACGGGCCGAGTGTCCAGCCGGGACACATCCCACAGACTTTGGGTCACTGTCCAAAGTCTGGCCTGCCAGCCTGGTCTGGGACACACTGGAGCAGGATGGCACCTTTATCTTATCTGGCTTTATTTCTATAATGGTTAGTCACTGATGTTTCAGGAGGAAAGATGTAGACGTGACCCAAAAGCCACCCACCTCAAAAGCCAACCCAAAAGGGACTGGTTGCATTTTGAGTCTATTCCCTGAATAGGCAGGGAAGGTTTCTACATTATTTGAGTTGTTACAGAAAAGCAGTAGTAATCATTTTGGAAGAAGGTGATGTTGGAATTGCTGTGTTCAAGAATTAAAATTTATTTCCTGATTTGTTTTTCGGTAAATGTATGAAATTTATCAACTGAATTTGTATTAACACTAAGTCATGTTATTCCTTAGCACTGTGGTCAAAAAGAAGAAATAGCCACTAACAGCTGAAATATACAAATTGCGTATTCCACTCTGGCTAGGCAGGAACAATGGAGACTTCTGATGGAGAAAGTTTGGGTGTAGCCACGTGAGTATGCTGCATTCTCATGTGTCAGATTACAATAAGCTAATTGCTAATTAAAACATCTTGATAGGAACATAATTACACGAATGAATATACACCACACTGTTTAGCAGATTCTGCCTCTTAGGAGAACTAAGGTGGAGAATGCAAAGCTGCAAGAGGGAATAACATCAGTACAGAGTTTAGGTGAAGTCAAACTAAATATCACTGGGTAGCTCTGCTGAGGGATCAGAGCAAGCCTTGTAAAGGCTGGAAATTGCTTTTTCTGGTGTTTGTTTTAAATTCAGAATTTCTCCTTTTCAAGAGTGTTTCTTGTCTTATGTCACTGATCCTGAGAGGAGACTCTTCCTCTTGAGTGTTCTAAAACCAAGCCCATCCACAGGTGACCTCAACCAAATTTCACACTGGGACATGCTAAGATGCTGCTTCACCCCACAGGTGTCTGCCATACTCTTCCCCAAGAGTTGTGGCAGAAGGGGATGTGTGACTGTGCCTGTGTCATGCATGGATTTAACTCTTCCAGCCCCAGACTCCCAACACCGGCCAGGACTGCCTCAGCAGTGCAGTGTGCTGGCCCAAACTGGCTATTATGAGGTGACAGGGAATTAAACCACAGGGTTGGTGAGCTCGTGTCTCTGTAGGTGTGTGGATGCACGTGTCTTGTATAAAGAAATGGAATCGGGTTCTTCTGGAACAGGTAAATTCCATTACTTGCACAGACTTAAACCAGGGTTTAAATTAACACTTTTGTTAGGGTAAGCTGTAGAATTAGCAGTAGCATTTATTTGGAGGGGGGAAAAGAGTGGGAATTATCGCTGGCACAGTCAGGGCATGCCGGGGAAGCGCTGAGCCAGGCGAGCTGCCCGGGCTGTCCCTGCGCCGGGCCAGCCCCGCTGCTCCGGCCCTGCCGCCCTCCCGCGGGCTGCCCCGGGTTCGGCTCCGCTCCCGGGAGCAGGAATGTCGTTGCTAGGATATCATCGCTCGCTGAGCAGACGCCTTTTGAAATCAAAGATCTCTTAATTTTTTCTGATCAGAGTGAGCCTGATTATAGTTAGACTGTCAGCTAAAATAACGTTGGATTAATTTCACTGGAGTATTCTCTAATGGCAAAGTAACTTTAATGAGCTTTTCTAAACTTAGTCTGAAGGGCTATCCTACTCTGTTTACTGATGAGAAAGAGGCATTCAGTTGAATTTAAATGGTGCTTTTGCTAATCGAAGTGAATTTTTTTCTTAAAGACAAATATCCCTGTTTCTTTGAGACTTCTTTCCCTCACATGTGAGAAAAGTTTGTCTTTCATTCCTTGGAGGAAATAGGAAGAGTTTGTCTCCCACTAAAGATGAGCTGTGAATGCCAAAGACATCCTGTGGATTATTTCCTGTGTCTGAACAAGTTGCACAAGAATAGATCCAGACTCCTGATGCTGGCACCATAGATTTCTTCCCTGGATTAATTCAGATCCATAATGGTGTTTAATATTTGCTCATGATAGAATAACTTTAGGAGATTATCCCTTTTTTTTTTTTTTTGATCATATAAGGATGTTTCTTGCATAAGAAAAATATTTAAGTTTCTTCAGTTATGGGTTAGGTTTGGTTAGGGTTAGGTTATATGGTATACTTGTGTATACATTCAGTTTAAGTTGTTCCACAAGACCAAATATTTCAAAATATTCTCTAGAGTGTCTATAAAGTTCTCTGATCACCATGTGTAGGAAAGAGAAGGGGAACTGGTAGCAGCTGAGATTTGTGGGGTGAAAAAGGCTTAATTTGCTGTTCTAATTATACTCTTTACATTCTTTTGCACCAGAACTAGAATTACCTTGACAGTAATGCCAGTAAAATAATATTTATTCTTTCTTGCAATTAGGCACCTTACTGGGAGGAAATAGAGTAGAGATCTGATGAGAATCTCCATGGAGCAATTTTCTCATCAGTGCCATGGATTGTTTTGTAGGTTGAACCTAGGAAGTTCTTCCGTTATCTTGTAATTACTGGGTGTATTTGTACTTAGACTTTTGTTAACACTTTTTAATTTTAATTTCTGCTGTGGTCAATATATATATATATATATTCCTCTGCTTTCAGCTCCACCACTTCTGATGAGTTTGATGCAGTTGTTGGCTATCTGGAGGATATCATAATGGGTAAGGTCTACAAGTAGGTACAGACAACAACAGGGCTGTTAAATTTGTTGCAGCTGCTCTTCTGTTAATTAGCCAACATACAGAGCCCCTCCCTGCTTCATGGTGGCTTTTCTTCCTTTCCTACCTGGTAGTGTAGTAAAAATATACATAACATCCTTCTGTGTGCATGTGACTCTTGAAAATTATTCTCCACATTACTGCAGTACACTGCTCCTTAGAGAAACAGTAAAGATGCTTGTGCATCTCACAGAGAAATCAAAGCTCCCTGGGATTTTTATGGAAGAGACTGTGAAAGGCAGCCTTCCCTTCCCCAGCTCTGCCCAAACTTCTCCTGACATGACTCAGGAAGTTCTTAGAAGCTGCCATGGTTTGTCTGGGAAGTTTTTAGCAGTGCCCAGTTGCTGCTGCTGCTGCAGGGAGCCTTTTGCACTCTGATATAAAATGCCTGAGCTGCAGGCTGAGAGTTGGTTTTATTCCAGGACTGAAAGCTGCAAGAATGGGAACCTTATTTCTTTCAATCCAGCCCTAAAGCACAGAGATGGTCATAGAATCACAGAATGGTTTGGGTTGGAAGGGGCCTTAAAGATCACTCAACCCCCCTGCCATGGGCAGGGACACCTTCCAGTGGAGCAGGTTGCTCACAATCCCACCCAGCCTGGCCACCTGGCAGTAAAGTTGCTTAGTTCTCAGGGATGTGGTTTTAACTGAGTAGTCTGTGTGTGCAGGGAAGTTTTTTAAAAAGTGCCAAGGCAGAATTCATGCTGCTCAGCCATCAGCTGCTTTATAGGAACAGCACATCATTTCTTTGGTCACATCCTTCCCAGAGAGATGTAGATTCTGGATCCTCAGTTGCCTGGTGATGCAGTTGAATCTGAAGGAATGTTAACTAAATTAATTTGGAACGTTTCAGAGTTTGGAAGGCTGTGTCTGGTGTCCTTCAGCATTGTTCATAAGTAAACTTTTTATTTATACCTGTTTTGTGAAAAAACAGGTATAAATAAATGGTAGCCTACTGTGTTTATTTTTAGTCTTCTTTCTTCCACAAGTGGAAAAAATTATTTGGCAATTGAAACTAATATTTTTAAATTCAAATGAAATTCACTAATATTTTTAAATTAAAAGAAAAAAACTTAGAGTACTTGTAGGGAAGAGGTATTCACTTGATAAAAAATACAGCTGCTTTGTTGACTTTAGAGCCAGAGCAAAAAGAGGTTGAGAATAAATAACTATTAATAAATGTAGAGCAGGAGGAGTGTTTTGATAATATTTCACCATCAGCCTCTGTCCTCTCACAGCTGGGTCAGAAGTGGTGGTTTGGCAGCAGCTGTGGTGCTGATGTGATGAACTCTGCATGTGTGCAGGGCTCTGTGGTTACAGCAGGGAAGCAGAGGACCAGTGAATGTGGGGTTTGTGTTACAGAACGAATTACTAAACTCCTAACTCTGTGCTGCATTTCTGTTATGGCCCAGATGATGATTTCCAGTTAATACAGAGGAATTTTTTGGAGAAGCACTACCAGGAGTTTGATGACTCAGAAGAAAACAAGCTCATCTATACAGACATTTTTAATGAATATGTAAGATACCTTTATGTATTTTTCTTTTTTTTTTAATATGATTCTCCCTTTTGTAAAATACTGGGTTTACATGGAGCAGATCCCAACATGTTCCTGTCTCCTTCAGAAGCACACACATTATCTGTAAGCAAGAAAAGTTTTTTTCTGAAGCTTTAGGTTCCTTTCTTATTGTTTCACACAAAATTTTCTAGAGATATTTTGGAAGGTGTGTCACTCCCTTGAATAGAAATTTAGCCAATTGCTGTAGTAAATAATGTGTTTTGCATGTATGCAAACAAAGTTTCTTCTTCTCCAGTTGTATGATTTCTTGTATTGCATAATTCAATCACATTCTTCATGCAAAGCATAATCAAGCTACTAGACCACTCTTCTATTGAGTACCATTAAATGAGTTGGAAAAATATTTGTTACTAGATACAAATAGTCAGTGTTTGTTCTCCCCAAGATCCCCAGCAAAAAATGTGCAGCTCTGTGCCTCAGGGCTGGTGTGAGAACAGAACCAGCAGCACCCACTGAGGAATCTGCAGTTGTGCATGGATCATGCAGAGTGTGGATCATGCTGTTTGAAATCTGCTTCTGAAATCTGTTGTGATCTTACTGGGGTGGTTTGTCTGGTTTTTTTTCAGATCTCTTTAGTAGAGAAATACATTGAAGAGAAGTTGCTTGATCGGATCCGTGGGTTTGATATGGTTGCTTTCACAGTGTCTTTGCAGTAAGTCTCTGCTTTGCTTTCGGTTGAGGAGTGGCTTATGTGCCTCTCAGTTCTTTTTATCTAGATTAAAGCTTAGGTTTTTGGCTGTTCTCCCTTTAGATAATGGTTCTACTTTAACTTAAAATAGAAGTGTTCATGCTGGCAGTGTCTGACCATTTTCATGCTGTCAGCATGTCCTACTACTCTAAATTTCTGAATTGTCCTGCTGAAATATATTTGATTTGAAGGGGTAGGAAGAGAAATCAGAATGAGAGCACTGGAGCATTTTCATATTTCTTGTCACTTTGAAGCCAGACCCTTAAAAGGTTGTGTCTTATCTCTCCCAGGCACCTCAGTAGCCTGGTGGTGTTTCAGTCATGTGGTTGAATTCCTTTATTGCAATTTTTATATGGAGCATCCAGAGAAGAGTTTGGTTTGTGTTCACCTTTTGCATTGGGTCATTTTAGCTTAACCAGCTTCCTGAACAGCTTGTTTTTGAAAGATCACTGGTTTTCCCCTTGAATAAGAAGATAAAGTGTAATTGGGAACTGAGTATCTTAAAACATTTTAATCTGGTTAATTTTTAATGTTTCTTAAATAAACAGCTCAGGTTTTCAAGGACTGATATGATACTCAGAGGTTTTGGATTTAGATAAATGTAATAATGTAGTTGGATTGAAAATACTGCATGGTAATATTTGGCTGCAGTTTTGCTATATGATAACCTGCAATAACATTTTTATTTAAATACTGATATCATTCTACTTGTCCCTTTTTGACCTTGTACCATTTAAAAAATAACAAATTTTTCTCACACAATTTTCTCATTCCCCAACTTCTTTTTCTCTGTAGACAGCACAAAGATGAAATGCCAGGGGATATATTTGATCTGCTTCTCACATTTACAGACTTTCTGGCTTTCAAAGAAATGTTCTTGGAATACAGAGCTGTGAGTATATCACCTTGTTTATTTTCTTTGGCACAGTAGCTGTTCATTTTTTGTAGCTCCACCTGAGAGTACCAAAGGAAAAGTTACTACAGTAGGTCAGAGTATTTAATCAAGGGCTCTAACAGACTCAAAAGAAAAATTATTTCACTGTGTGGCTTTTTAAACTCAAACTGCACATTTAATAATTTTTAGAAAACATTAATAAAGCTTGCATGTGGAGCAGTTCTTCCTGCTTTTGTGAACTTCCTGCATTTCTGAATATTGTTTTCCAAATGAGCAGAGGGGAATACTTTTTCAAGTCTCTGAGCTTGTGGAGTCTCCATCCTTGGAGATATTCTAAGGTTGTCTGGACACAGTGCTGAGTGACTGTGCTTGAGCATGGGGTTTGCCCCAGATGGCCTCCAGAGATCCCTTTTCACCTTGGCCATTCTGACTCTGTAGTATCTTCTTTTATTTTTTATTCCTAGTCTATCAAAAATTTGATGTTTAAGCCTCTTTCATTTTTCTCCTCCTTTCTGTGCCAGCTGGAGAAATAAACAAAAGTGCTAAGGTTTTTTGGATGAGGTTTTCCCTAGTAAAATAAAAATCAGTGCTCCCCACTGTCAGTCCAGTCCTGTTTGACAAGGAGCAAAAGAGTCACAGTTGTGGTTATGCCTCTGCCTCTTCCCCATCCTTGTGAATTTTGTGGAAATGGGGACAGGCTGAAGAGAAAGAATCAGTCTGTGTATCAGCATCGGGAGGAGTTTCAGATGGGATTTGCAGTCTGGGGTCTCTGAGAGGCAAACAACAGGAGCCAGATTTCACCAGATCCCTGAGCCACCAGCACAGCATTCCCGACCAGGGCTGAGCAAGGCTCTGCTCTGACACGGGCAGACCTGGCAGGTGACAGCCCCTCAGCCCAGGCATTCCTGCACAATCTTCTTGGGTTCACAAGAAGAATTCAATCACAGTTGCTCAAGTAACATGTAATTTTATATTGGTTTGATGCAGCAGAAAATGTATTGCCTGTTTCATTTTTTGAAGTGCTTATTCCAAACTGTCATGGAGTCACAGATTCCTTTTTTCCCTCATGTTTCTAGGAAAAAGAAGGCCGAAGTCTGGATTTAAGCAGTGCATTAGTGGTGACTTCATTAAACCATTAAACAAGTCGTTCTGATGGGAGTTCTGTTGTATTTTAAGCAAGGTCTTTTCACATTTCAGAGGTGAAAGGCAGCAATTCCCAAGAGAGGGCCGGGGCAGAGGGGCAGGGACTCGGCTCCATGCTGCCATGAGGGAGGTGGGTGCTCGGTGGGGCAGGGCCAGGACTGTGGGTCCCTCTCCAGGGGATGAAATCAAAACTTTCTGGAATTTTTATACCCTTTTACATACATACATACATACATACAACCTTTTACAGGTTGGAAGAGACTGTGTGAGGCAGTCTTCCTTTCCCCAGCTCTACCTGTCATGACTGTCAGGATGTTCTAAGAAGCTGCTGTGGTTTGTCTGGACAGTTTTCTGCAGTGCCCAGCTGCTGCTACTGCTGCAGGGAGCCTTTTGCACTCTGATATAAAGTGCCTGAGCTGCAGTTTGAGCTCCTTGTTCTTTGTCCTGTCTCTGCTGAATACAGAGAACAGTTTATTCCTTCTGTTCCTGCAGCACCATTGCTTTACTGGAAATCATCCAGTTCCAACCCCCCTTCCACTGGAGCAGGTTGCTCACAATCCCATCCAGCTTGGCCACCTGGCAGTAAAAGATGCTCAGTTCTCAGGGATGTGGTTTTAACTGAACAGTCTGTGCAGGGAAGTTTTTTACAAGGTGCCAAGGCAGAATTCATGCTGCTCAGCCATCAGCTGCTTTATAGGAACAGCACATCATTTCTTTGGTCACATCTTCCCAGAGAGATGTAGATTCTGGATCCTCAGTTGCCTGGTGACACAGCTGAATCTGGAGGAATGCTAACTAAGTTAATTTGGAACATTTCAGAGTTTGGAAGGCTGAGACCCTTGTCCTTTATCAGTGTTTGTAAGTAAATTTTCTGTCTAGATTTTGAAATTCAATAGTGACCTCTGATGTTAATTTTTATTAATTTTATGGGTTTTATTTACTTACTGTTTATGTTATATATATATATATATTATATATATATGTGTGTGTGTGTGTGTCTATATATTCATAACTGTGGAAATTTGACCCTTGATTTACCCACTGACAACCAAATAAAGGCTGATCTGTCATGGGCCAATGCCATGTGTCCAGTTCCTTTTCAGTTCTCACCTTCCATTAATGCAGTTCCATTTCCTGATCCTGCCTCTGCAGACAACCTGGTAAATCTTTTTCCCATGCAGAGCATGCAGTAAGATTTGCAGTGTAGCTCACCATGCACCAGGTTTTGAACTCACTGAATCTACTTTTACTACCTTTTACAAGGAGGGTGTGAAAGGAAAAAAGCTGCTCTGCCTGGTTGGGCATCACTTCTCATTCTGACAAACACCCAGAAGGTGAATTTGTGGTCTGCAGCATGGGAGAGCAGTGTGGTTCTTCCCTCTCCTGAAGCATTGATCCTGCCTGTGTTCCCAGAGCTTTTGCAGTCTTGATTGTAATTTCTGAAATGCCCTGCAGTTAATGGGCAAAATTGACTTGCTAGTTAATTAGGTGAACTCAGGAGTGTGTGGTGCTGAGCCAGGAAGAGGGAGTGATCAAAGCCTTGGCACCTCGTTTGTGTTCTTGTGGTCTTGGCTGCACACTCTGAGCGTGTGTGTGCATAAAGCAATGAGAGGTGAACCCTGTGGACTTGTTCCTTCCACAGCCCACATGGAGTGGGAAGGAACAGCCACCTCTGCAGTGACATCTCTGCTGTCCCTGCCATGCTGTGCTGCCTTCTCACAAGACAAGTTTTCTCATTACAGACTCCAGTGCTAGATTTAGGAATGTTTTTATTTAAAGCATAAACTTTATATTCAAATTGTTAGAAATCAATACAAGAGAAGTTATGACTACTTCCATTGCTTCACGTCTCATCTTCCAGCTCTGCCACTGTTTCTGCACCCTGTTAATTGCATTACTTACACTGTAGCTGTGAATGAGCAGAGAGGGGAGCCTGGGCTTGGGTTAGTCAGTTTTAGTACTGGACTGTGCCAAACTGGCTGAGCCCCCTCAGTGGAGCTGCTCTGGTGAGGGTCTAGATGAGCCTCAGGGATGAGCAGGAGCTGCAGCCCCAGCGAGTCCGTGTCCCCCGTGGGATCGTGCTGTGGGCACGTCAGCTGGAAGCATCGGTGCTGACCACTGCTGCCAGCACAGGCTGGTCCCAGAACGAGCCCTGGTGGCACACGAGGCTCCAAGCCGCCAAGCCTGGCACAAGCTGGTGCAGGGTGGCCCATGGCCGGGCTTTGCTGTCCACTCCTTACGCGTGGTCGGTCACTTGGCTGGTGGCCGCGTTGCTGCCGAGCCCTTTCCAGGCGCGGAAGCTGAAGAAGGTGCTCACCCCGTAGGTGATCATCGTGACGCAGGCGAAGAACTGGAAGAGCAGCACATCCCACGTGTGACCAGGGTGGCTGCCCCAGCCCCCCGGCCCTCCCCTGCCCGCCAGTACTCACGGAGGCGGCAGCTCTGCGGTTGTAGTCCCACTGCCGCCAGGACGTCGGCTGCACGGCGGCCGCGCACGTCACGAAGGCGGTGATGTACAGCACGGTGGCCACGGCGTTGTAGATCATCAGCTGGGGAAACAAAGAGGAGCTCATGAGGTCTGGCTCAGGCTCGTGCATGCTGGGGCGAGGCAGGAGCAAAAGGCTCAGGTTCACATTCCTCCCCGTTCCCCAGGAGAACACATTAAATGCTCCCCAGGTTGTGCTGGGAGGTTTTAGGATGACACAACTGCAGCAGTTGGTGGCTATAACTTTCTGGATTGACACAGGATTTTTCTGTTTGAGCATTTTCTAAGCAATTCAAGGGCAGAATGAAACAATGTCACTGTGCAGAGTGCAGAGTGCAGGGGACTTGGTTCCATCAGCCCAGAAGAGACTGAAGCCTTCCCAGACCGTCTTTCCAAGATGTTTCCCTCTTGGGATCCCTCCTCACTCCCTCTCAGCTACGCACCACGAGGGACCAGGGGATCATGTAGAACTTCTGATGAAGTTGCAGGAGGTAAGTCACGAAGAAAAGGAGTGTTAGTATCCAGAAGAAGAGGGACACAAACATCACCCAGCCGTATGCCGCGTGGAGGTGGTACGTCGTGGCGGCGATGAGAGACCACACCAACAAACCGAGCACCTGTGGGGTGAAACGGGGAACCTGTTCAGGGGCTGGTTCCTGCAGGAGGAGCACAGAATGTCGCCCACAAGCCCAGGCACAGCAGCACCAACAGCAGTTGGGTTCCCCTCACTCCAGGAAAGCAGCGGCACACTCGGTGGGAGAAGGGCTCCTTGGAAAGCCGCTGTGCCCTGTGTGAGCCCGCACCGCCTATTGTCATGGAGGCAACACAACAGCCTTTGTCCTGCCCGCGTCCAACGCCCTGCTTGGTGCTTGGCTGCTCCGACAATGCCTCCTTGTCTGTCACATCCATTTCTAACACTCGTGATCACAAAATATGTGCTGGGGAGAAATATGCAGAGGGGCTCCTGCAGGAGTGGGAGGTGGCACGTGTGAGCTGCCCCGCTCTGGCTGCTGCCGAGGGAAAGCAGGAGCCTGTTTAACAGCGTGGCCTGAGCAAGGGGCTGCAGGGGTGGAACCAGCTGCAGAGTTGAAAGGTCTTGTTTCCATCTCTCTTTCCTGTCACTCCTACAAGGCACCCCCAGCAGCATCCTGCCCAGCCCCTGTCCTCAGCGTTTTTCTCTATGTCACCACCAGCCAGGGGCTGGAATCTGGAGCCAGGTCTGTGCCAGCTGCTTCACGGTGGCTGCTCAGGGCACATCCCACAACACTGCCCCGAGGAGAGAGGACGAGTGAACAGGCTCCCACGCAGCGGGGCAGCACTGTGGGTAGGTCACAAGTGGCCCAGCAGGCAGCTGAACACCCATCCCGTGCATTCATGCAGCACCCGGGGAGAGCACCAGCAGGAGATTATTGCAGTTGCCTCCGATGCTGAAGCAATGGGCAGTGATGCTGCTGCTCGATTTGACGGCGCAAAGACCTTGGAGCTCCTCTGAGAGCAGCCCTCAAAGCCTTGGGAGGACAACCTGGAGACCTGAGAGTGTTCCAGGGAGCGTGGGAGCCTCATGAGCACAGCTCCCCTGGAGTCACTGGGCTTCACACTCTCCCGACCCATTGGCCGTGTCCTGCGGAGATGCCCGCGCATCAGCCCGTACCTGGCACTGGGGACCACTGAGCAGGGTTACAACCGGCAAGGGGTGTGAGGACAACAATCCGACTTTTCCTCTGGCTTTACAAAATGAAGGAGGCGAGAGGAGGCTGCACTGTCTTAGGGTTGGGGATTACCTAGGGTTAGACAGCGGAGATGGAGTCGGAGCGGCAGCCAAAGAGAGCCCGGGCTGTTTCCAGCTGAAGAAAAGCACCCAAGTGGGTGATGCCCTCCCCCCTCCGCCGCGCCCCCTGCCCGGTACTCACGGCCTGGACGCACATCAGCCCCCCGAGCGGCGAGAGCAAGAAGGAGCCGTCCAGGGCCGGGGGCGAGCCCGGGGAGGCGCTCCGGGCTCGCGCGGCGCCGGGCAGCCCCGCCATGCCGCGCACCGGCCCGGGACGGCCCCGGCACGGCCCCTCCGCGGGCGGGGCGCGGGTGGCTCCGGGGCGGCCGGGCCGAGCCCCGAGGCTGCCCCCGCCCCGCCGCCCCCGGGCAGCGGCGGAGCCTCCGCCCGGCGCGGCGCTGCGCCCCCGGTGTGTCGCCGTGTCCCCGTGCAGGGGGAGCGCCGACAAAGGGCGGCCCCCACCGCGACAGCCCCCCTCGGTATGCTGGCGATGCTCTGCCCGGAGCGGCCCGGGTCACCGCGAACCTTCTGTGCGGCCGCGTCCTGCTCGGGGCTCGCCGGGCGCATTTGGTGGCCTCCGGCGCATCGCAGTGCTTGATGGTGCTCCCTCTGCGGGGGCGACACGCGTCTCCTTGTTAAATCCTGGAATAAGTTGGGTTGGAAGTGATCTTAAGGCACCTTGTTCTAACCTCCTGCCATGCAGGGACACATTCCACTAGACCAGGTTGCTCCAAGCCCTTGGACTTGCTCCAGCCCGGCCTTGAACACTTCCAAGGACGGGGCAGCCACAGCTTCTCTGGTCAATCTGAGCAGTGCCTCATCACCCTCCACTTGGGGAGATTTCTGTCAGCCCGGATCTCGGGCTGGTCCGGGTCGCTCTGGGTGGCAGCAGGACCCTCTGGACTATCAGCCACACTCCCAGTTTGCTGCCATATGCTCAGCGCGCCCTTGGCCCCATCACGCCGGTCGCTAGTGCAGGCCGTGGCTCAGGGCTGGGCTGGGCCTTGTCCCCGGCGTGTCCTGGCCATGTCTCCGGCCGTGTCCCGGCCGTGTCTCGGCCGTGTCTCGGCCGTGTCCCAGCGGTGACCGGACACGGCAGCTCAGCCCGGATCTGGCATGGGGGGTGGCTGCAAAGGGCTTTGTAGCAGCAGGTCAGGATGGCCGAGCGGTCTAAGGCGCTGCGTTCAGGTCGCAGTCTCCCCTGGAGGCGTGGGTTCGAATCCCACTTCTGACAGCTCCTTTTGCGCCGCCCGGCGGGCGCTTTTAGCTGAGGGAGGCGGGCGGGGCCGTGAGTGGAAAACAAAAGCAGTTAACTGATGAACCACCGGCGGGTAACGCAAAAAAATCACAGCTGTCAGAAGTGGGATTCGAACCCACGCCTCCAGGGGAGACTGCGACCTGAACGCAGCGCCTTAGACCGCTCGGCCATCCTGACACCGCTGGCCGGGCCTGGCGGCCCGCGCTACACTTGAGGGCGGTGTGCAGCGTTCTGTGGGTTCCGCCAGCCCGCGGGCCGCGACACCTCCCCGGGGAGCTTTTCCCAAAGCCCGACCACCCTCTGCGTGAAGAACCTTTTCCTAACATCCAGCCTAAACCTCCCCTGGCGCAGCTTCAGCCATTCCCTCAGGTTCTGTCACTGGTCACAGACAGCAGCGATCAGCGCTGCCCCTCCTGAGGCAGCTGCAGCCCACAGTGAGCTCTGCCCTCAGAATCCTCTTTTCCAGGCTGAACAAGCCACTCCTCACATGGCTTCCCTTCTAGATCCTTCACCATCCTCACGGCCTCCTTTGGATGCTCTGTTACAGCCTCAGACACTTCTTGTACTGTGGTGCCCAAATCTGCTCCCAGAACTCGAGGTGAGGCTGCACCAGCACAGAGCAGAGTGGGACAATCACCTCCCATCCTGCAACTGCATTTAACTGCATTCCCAGTTCAATCCAAAAATGTGATGGTAGAGGCACAGCTGAAATTTTTTGCCACATACATTTGCTTGAAACTAATAACTCTAAACCAATCTGAAACCAGGAGCTTTGGCAAGTGGAATTACAAGTTCTAAGAGAACATGCAAGATCTTTCCTACACTAGGGTGGCTCGTGGGAGGCCATGCCTCTCCTTTCTCCGCCAGGCATTAGACAGGAGAGTCATGCTGGGTAAGTCCTGGGGGAAGCCTGGTTCCCTGCTCAAATCCCTCCTGGTTGCAGAGAGCACCCTGTGACTGATGGCTCATCAAAATGGCTCCAATCTCTGCACAGGCAGGTGTGTGGTACGCTGAACTGACCTCAAACTCCTCTTCCTCACCCTACATGAATGTAAAGATAGTCCTGCTCTTCCAGCTGTGATGAATGTAAAGCCATTCCTGCTGTTCCAGCTGTGGGGCTCACAATGAATAAAAAAATGTTACAAAAGAAAAGACAAAGCTACAGCCACAACCTTTCAGAAATAGAGATATAAGCCACAAGGAGACAGGAAACGTAAGAAAACAAAATATACTTTATTAAAATTAAGCATGTTAGCACCTCAGTGTAACCTGGAGAAGTCAGTCCAGCAGGTAACCAGTCCAGCAAGGCCTAATGGCTGAACATCCTGAAGTGCATCCCGATGGTAGAAAAAGTACCATGACTGTCAGGACATGCACGTTCTGAACAAGCTCAGATGCACAACCAGCCTCGTTTGCGAGGAGGATGTTGTGCTGCCTACTGTCTTGATGGGAGCATCTAAAGCTGCTGGACCAATCACATATGTTAGATCCCATGGTGGAGCAGGTATCTGCTTGTCCTACAAAAGAAACCAAAAACAAACCCAAAACAACAGGCCAAACCGACCAAATGAAAAAATTGCCGCTAACTCAACTCGCAGAAAAATCAGTATAGCACAGAGCTGGAGAGCTACATATCAGATTGGAGAATAAATTAAACTGAAATAATGGCAAGGACTTAGTACATGGATAGACATGTAGCATCCTTACAGATGGCCATCCAACTTGGCACACACGTTAATAAAAAAATGAGCCATGCATCACATAGCAGGCTGTGACAACCTGGAGCTGAACTGGCTTCAGGACCTACAGAGAAACCTCCGGCTACAAAACCCCACGGTGCCCTTTTGTTCGGTTGTATACAGTGTTGAAGCTGATGGTTGTAAAGCTACATTAGCCAGTGTTAACAAAGATTACATAATTTCCAACTAAAGATACTTTTTACATTTAGAAAATACCTCTATAAAATTTAGTAAAAGTGACATCCCAATCTACTGAACAATGCACTCCGGTTCCAGAAGGATCTCGCAGAGCCAGGGAACACCTGGGAATTCTCCCCTCGAAGGTGAATATGGGCACGCTGTGGTGAGGTGCCTTTTGTTCTCAACATCCATCGGCACTGCCACTGCCACAGGGCCGTGCTGGGGCACCAGACACTCCCCTTCTCCTCCAAACTGCTGAGGGATCTGTTCCACCAGCCAGGCTGGACGTGCATAACCAAGCCAAACCCGTGGCTTTGCTACCCTCACTCCACCCTCTTTCTAGCCAACGCTGATTTGGTTTCCTGTTGCAGAAAGAGAAGGGACTGACGCTGGCTAGAAACAGACACTACACAACCATTCCACATAGATTTGTTACAATACTCTTAAATCTTGGTTTAGAACACACAAGCAGGTTTTAGTATGGTCTTGCCTAATGTACAGATTATTAGTCATGCCAACTAGTTTAGGATTAGACAGGAAAGGTTTGCAACCACTGCAGGTAAAGTCACTTCTGTTTCATCCTGGTTCTCAGAAAGAAAGCCAAGGATTAAAATTCCAATGTGTTACAAAGCCTCCATTTCATGAGAGGGAGTCTTAAGCCAATGAGATAAACTACAGCTGTTAAGTGCCACCGTGTTCTTTGTACCAGACTGTAATCCTTACTGGTGTCAAGAGCACGGAGACATCTGTAACCAACACACACACGCTGCAGAGAAAGCAGAAACTACACGGTACGAGAACACTCTTTAATCTGGGGGTTCTGTCACTCTTGGAACAGCAGTCTTTTATGGCATCAGTAATTTACTGAAGAAACACATCACCCTGAGAGGGTTTCTAAAGCTTTCCTCCACTGAGCGAGGCTGAACGCGACATCACCGACCATCCCGCGATGGGTGCGGCGCCCATGGCAGTCGGACACGCCTTCTCCAGGGTAGTGTTGCTGTTACCTCACTTGACACAGAGCGAGTTTTATTTGCTGAAAACTGATACCCTACATCCACTTAGTGACGACTCGGGTCCCATCCACGCTACGAGCAGCGCGTTCCGACACCGCAGGCAGCGGGTTTGACGGGCCCGGTGTGAGGTGACACCGGAGATAAGGTCGGGGCGATAAGGGCGCTGATGCAATCCTGGCAGGGGAATCCTGCGGCGAGGCCTCGCCCGGCCGGCGGCTGCCGTAGCGTGGGCTGAGCCGGGCGCGGAGGGGCCGCGCTCCATCCCATCGCCGCCCTGCCCGGCACCGCAGCGAGCGCGGCGGAGGCTCCGGGATGGAGAGCCCCGCGCCGGGCCGGGCGCTCAGAGCCCGTGGCGCTTGCGGGTGCCGGCGCTGGCGGCGTGGAGCAGCCGGTCCTTCTCGCGGATCTCCTCGCGGAGCTGGGCCTCGGCCAGGCGCAGGCGGCGGATGCTGCCCTTCATCTCCTTCATCTTCACCTCCAGCAGCGCGATGATGTCGCGCTGCTCGTTCAGCTTCCTCAGCAGCTCCTCCGACGTGGTTCCCGACGACAGCGAGTACGAGTGGTCGGGGGGGCCGCCCTCCGCCGGGCTCTCCTCCCCCGCCGCCGCCGCCGCCGCCGGTACCGGCACCGGCAGCCGCACGGGGCTGGGCCCGATGGTGGCGGCGGCCCCGAGCTCCACCTGCACCGTCAGGTCGATGGGCTTCACGTCCTCGGCCGCGCCCCCTGCAGGGGCCTCGGCGGCCGCGGGGCCCTGCGGGGCGGCGGCGGCGGCGGCGGGGCGGGGGCGCCGGGCCCGCTGAGCCTTGCGCTCGTTGACGCCGCGCAGCGGGAAGATGGTGGGGACCCGCACCAGGTAGGACTTGCGGCCGCCCTGGAAGTGCTCGCTGCAGACGCGGTGGCCCGTGGTGGGCTGGAAGGTGCTGAAGCAGCCGCTGACGCCCGCCCGGGAGACGTTCTTGAGCCAGAGGCGCCGCAGCTCCTCGTCCTTGGGGAAGGTGTAGAAGTGCAGCGCCTTGTCGCGGTGCGAGTTGTTGTAGCAGCCCGGTACGCAGCAGGTGAAGCCCGGCATGGCCTCGCGGGGCGGGGGGACACTCGCGGCGAGCGGGGCGAGCGGCCCCGCCGAACTACAGCTCCCACAAGGCCCGCGCGGCCTCTCGCCGCCGCCGCCGCCGCCGCCCCGGAACTACGCGGACCACGATGCACCGCGGCGCCGGCGGAACTACCCGCCCCATGCTGCGCCGCGGCCCCTCCCGGCGCGCGCGTCTCGCGAGAGGCGGCGGGAGGCGGGAGTTGCGCGGCCGTTACCGGGCGCACCATGGCGGACGGGCGGCCCCGGGCCCGGCCCGGCCCCCGCCGCAGCGGCAGCCACAGCGCGCGGGCGGCGAACCAGGTGTGCCCCGGGGCTCTGGGGGAGACGGGAGAAAAGGAGAGTCGCTCTTGGGATCGACCATCCCGCTCTCGGTTTGAGGCAGCGGCGAGGCCTCTGAAGCAGGAGCGGGGGCCGCTCCCTCAGCTGTGTTCGCCGTTAATGGTGAAGATGGGCCGAAAGCCCGGACTTTGGCGCTCGCCTCGGCGGGTTTGGGTCGCGGCTGTGCTCTGAGGCCGCTGAGGATTTTGTCCACAGCAGGGTTTTGTGCTGGTGCCCAGCTCGATGACACCCCGGGCTGAATTGTGTCCCGTCCACACGGGAAGTGCCACCGTTGTCAAAAAGCCAGCACGCGCAGTTTCTCTTTGGAATTTGGAAAAAAATCATACCGGCTTGCTATTAGGACGTGGGTGTTGGATGCTTTTGATGTGTGTGGTCTTTAATAATGAAAATGCTAGCTTTGAATTGCTTGTCTCTTGATTTCATTCTAGACTGGATTGAGTGTAGAAAATAGGAATAAACCTGTCAGAAGCACCTTGGAAAAGCAGAGACTGCCAGTGTTCCCTGATCTCAGAAATGGCACACCACGGCTTATGCTCAAGAGAGTCATGCAGAACCGTAAGTGTCTTTTTTTTAGGAGAATTGAGAACAGAAAGACTGTTTTTGTAGAGTTGAGAAAACAGGGGGTGTTCCTTGGTAGCCCATTATCCTTTCCCTGTTACACGAAACAGAAATCAAATTGTTGTTTGACTGATTTATGTGGCAGAGGAGTCAGTGCAGGACAGCTGAATGCAGGATACAGCTGTCTGAGAGACCAGGCCTTGCACTGGTGAAATCAGAGCTTTGAAAAGCCTCTTCAAAGCCCTCTTCACTTGGTCTTCTTATCCTGGTGACTGAGCACATCATCCTGGTGCTGCCTGTGGCTGTAGGATTAGGTGTGAGTTGTTACTCTGCTGCAGTGAAGGGAGCCCCTGTGCTGCCACGTATCCCTGCCAGCTTTGTCACTGCCAGCCTTCCCAGGAGTAGAACCCAAACAGTTTTCACTAGGTCTTTATTTTAACCTGCTAGTAAATGTTATTTACAGCCTGTAATGTAGATGTGAAACCCTGCTGCATTTCCAGTTGTGGAAAGGAAATGTTCTGGTTTGTTGGCAGAACCCCAAGTTTCACCGCTGGCACTTCAGATATCTAACCACGAAGTCACACAAGAAGCTCATTCAGAAGTCCCATCTAAGAGGGTTTCCAGCATGTAAGTAGTGGGGTTTTATAATTTACACTTTTATGACACTGCCAGGTAGAGCTGCAGTTTCTGTGGTGGGACTGGGGAGCAGGACTTCTCTACTTGTGTTTCAGTGATCAGAATTGCATCTTGTCGGTGGGATTATCAGAAATGCCTCTTCAGCTTGGTTTGTTTTGGTAGGGGGGAATTGCAGCTGCCAGATGTTGCTCCTCAGGACACATCTATCACTGTGTTCCACATGAAAAAGAGAAGAAAACTCAGCATTTCTGAATTTGAGAGAGCAGCAGATAGACGACTTCCCCAGTACCAAGGTAAGGCTGCAGTCAAGAATTACCTTGCTCAGTGCTGCATTTGCTGTCAGGTGGTTCTCACCTGCTCAGCTCAGTTGTCAGGAGCTGCCCAGTTGGGCAGTTGTAGGTTTGGAATCCAGATTGCAATATCTCATGCAAAGGGGACAAGCCCTCCATCCTATAAAATTTAAAATAAACCTTTTTAAGCCAAGTTCTAAGCTCTGCCATAACTGTGTATAATTTTTTGGCTACTTTTGCAACTTGGTGCTTTTTGAGTTTTTGAAGTGTCTCCAGAGGAAGTAATCCCTGTCTTCTTCTTGGTTCTAGAAACTTTAAAATACAAGCAGCTGCATACATTCCATTGCAATGATATAAAATAATGATAAAGTTCTTTGTGAGGAGAAAAGGTTTGAGTTCCAGTTTCATCAAGAGTCTGTGGAATAGTTATCTTAGTTTCTAAAACTCCAGGTGTGTTTGGGTTGTGTTGCCGAAGGGTGCTTGTGACCAAGACATAACATCTTGTCATCAGTGTGGTACAATTAAAAGTATTAAATCTGCAGGTATATGCATGCCATGGTAAATTTTCATTGAAATAAATGAAATGTCTTTCTTACCCTTTCATAAATTGCGTTTTAGATTTCTAATATGCAATTCTGAAATGTAGACAATAAATAGTCAAGTGACCCCATTATCCAATTCTGTTTGCACCAAAGTATGGTGTTCGAGGATTGTAGCGTGGCTGGCTCTGAAAAGAGGAGGATCCATTGAGATGTTCCTGTAGCCTGTTGTGTAAAGGGTAATTTCTCAACTAATGTGCCATCAACTTTTTCTAGCTCAGTCAACGTTGGACAGAACAATTATGGCTCGGTGAGTTTCACCTAAAATGTCTTAACTTCTGTCTGTCCTGGGTATGATCACATCTGGAGGGGTGAAGAATGGTGCAGATGCCTGGGTTCATGTTCAAGACCTGCGTTAGTGTTAGCAATAGCAGAAGCATCTGCCCCTTTGCTGATGGAATTTGAAGGTGTTGCACCACACACCTTTTGATTTTCAGAAACTGTGGCTCTGCACTGTATGCCTGGGTTGGTCTAGCTTGTATTGCTACTATTGCTCCTCTTTTTACTTGCTTGGATCATTTCTTTTTTCCTTTTGCTCTCATGGTTCCAGCAGTACATCAGTATATCTTAGAATATGTAAATCACTACACAGTATACCTTAGAATATTATCCCTGCCTGTTCATAGTTTTTTCACATCAGTTGCACCTGTGCAGTATTTTCTGGACTTTAAAAGCTTTTTATTGAGTCAACTTACTTCCTAGTGTTGCCTGTGTACTTTGCAGATGACCCTGGCCAGAATCAGTACATTACTTCACCTTTCTCACTGCAGCCCTTGGCCTGGGGCGACACACAAGATGCTTTTTGGGGCTGGCTTTTGTACTTCTGTCTTTGAACCTCTGAAGCCCCTTTTTAATTGGGTTGCCTAGAGAAAGGGACAGGAGATCATTGAGCATGGTCAATCTTCAGGGTGCAAAACACCTGCAGTGAGAAATATCTTGTCCTATGCTTTAGGTGTTGCTATCAGCTTTCATCTTAGTCACAGTGTGTTGGTAGCTGTACTTTACTGAGAGTATTGATAGCAAGTAGATTCTTAAACTTATTGGGAAGTCCTCCTACTACCCCATTGTCATCTAGGGTATATCTTTACTCTGAATATTTTTTTTCCCTTTTTTTTTTTTGTTATTTTAAGATTTTTTTTTTAATTCCTGGCCCTTTTGTCAGCTGTAGTGTTGCAGTGTCTCAGGGAGGCTTTAAAACAGTCTGCTTCCTGATCTCTGTGACACATATCCTGATGTTGGGTGATAGTATGAAAATAAACAATTAATTTAAAGAATGAATATAATATTCAAGGGTCTTTTGGGGAAATTTCCCCTAGTTCTGCAAAATGTGTCATTGTTAGTGCCATCATGTCTGTATTCTGAGGGTGAAGGTGGAGTGTGTGATTTTGACAATTTTTCCCCTCTTACAGATCCTTTCGTATGTCTGTGGGTTCCTTGCTGGCCCCAGACACCGTAGAAAAGAGGGGCTTGCTCCGGAGGCCCAAAACCCGCAAGGCTGTTGACATGCAAGAGTTTGAAGGCAGAGTGGAACAGAACATGCTGAAGAACAAAGGTTTCTTTAGTGATGTTATTTCTCTTTTGGGAGGCAGAACCTTATGTTAAAGGGGCTTTTAGAAGCATTTACTGAAGCATGGTCTGTATTTTAGAATTTGAAATTTACTAACACATTCACAGAAATAGAGTGGGATTTGGGAGGTAAGATTAGAATGAGGTTCTGCCTCAGCAGTTCCTTTGATTCTATGCACTTAAATATGTACTTTGCCTGGTTTTGTCATTTAAACCACAGGAATTGTTTGGGATGATCTTCATCTGTGGGTACTGAGGTCTCTGTTGTTTGGCAGGGAGAGTTGTTGGCACAGAAGTGGGGTCATACTGTGTCAGTGTTTGATCTGTTGAGGAGGAGTAAAATTTGGTTGAATGACTTAAATAATGAATTACACAAGTTCTGGTACTACAGTATGTCCCTATGACCTTGATCAGTTTTTCACACAAAATTTGTTTTAAAACTTTCTCAACAGGACGGAACGATCTTGTGGACTCACTGTCTGCATCTGGGATTCAAACAAGCATCCTGACAAGTGATGCAGAAATTATGATGAACAGCACAGAGCTCTTTGTTCAGCCCCAGCTGGATGGAGACAGCCAAAGTAAATTGCCTGCTCTTGAACCCCAGCTGTCAGATTCAAAAACTTCAGCACAGAGGAGCCTGATTTCTGATGCAGATCAAGAAGAAGCAAGGCTGGAGGGCCGGGTATCCAGTGTGAGCACAAACCAGGGAAGGACCCAAAGATACTCCAAGAGCTCAAGCCTTGATGAGCATGTTGACAGAATGACTCATTTATCTCCAGAAACTCCTGAAAAACAGAGAGAAGAAAAGCTGGATCATTCCCAGCAGAGTAACCCCATGACAGAGATTTCTTTTACTGAAGAAGAGGTCGTTTGCTGTGAGTACTATGGGTGAAGGCTTAGCAGGTGTTGTCTGAACTCACACAGTGGTTGAGGTAGAAAGGGACCGCAAGGTTATTTTCTCCAACCCTTCTGCTCTGGCAGGGCTACAAAGAGCAGGTTGCTCAGGATCCTGTCTAAATGGCTCTTATGAGTCTGTAAGGGTAATGACTGCAAACTGTCTTCCTTATGTTTGGATGGAGCATCCCATGTTCCATGCTGTGCCAGTTGCCTTTTTTCTTGGCACTGGGCATCACTGGGAAGAGTCTGGTTCTCTCTGCCTTACACCCTACCTTCTGACACTTGTATATATTGGTAAGATCTGCCCTAAGCTGCCTCTTCTCTAGGCTGAACAGTCCCATGTCTCTCAGCCTTTCCTTCCAGGAGTGATGCTTCAGTCCCTTAACTGTCCTGGTGGGCCTTTGCTGGGCTCTCCACTGTGTCCATCTCTCCTTTGTCCTGGGACCCCAGAAGTGGGCACTCTAAATTGGTCACAAAAAGTATGGAGATAATATGTGGGACGTGTAGACAGACTTGGAAGGAATCTCTGGAAGTTCCTAGTCCATACCTTCGCTGTGGTATGGTCATTTATTTGTCACAGCCAACCTTTCCATTGTCTCCAGGGCTTTAAAAATCTTTAGACAGAGGCAGTTGCCTCCCTGCTCACTCTGTACCAGTGCTTTGCGGTTCCTATTGTTTGCCAGTTTTTCCCTGGTACCTCTCCTTGGCATTCATTTCCCTGGCCTTGTCCTGGTTGTGTAAATGGGAGCACATTTTCCTCACACTGTTTGGACCAGGCAAAAGTTGTTTTGAAAGGACAAAGGAAGGAATCAACAGAAAAAGGTTAGTTGCTCAGAGCAGCTTCAATAGCAGGCATTTTTAGGACAAAGGGATAGATAATGCAGAGTGTGGAGGATGTGGAACAGGGGACTGGATCCAATGAGGGGAGTGAGCAGATCTTTAAGATGCTGGAGTTAATAAGGCATTAATATCGGAAGTTAATGGTGGCATAGTTCTGCTCTACCACAGGAGGCTGCTGGTGGTGCTGCTCCTCAGTGTCAACTGAAAAACAGTTGCAAAGATTTTTCCAACTGGTTCCTAAGATTTGATGCCATCTCCCCAAACTGCGTGAAGTGCATACAAGTGTTTCTTGTGTGTCTTCTCCCTCCTTGGTTGTTTTTTTATTTACTAGGAAAGCTAAAAGAAAATTCAAAAAGCTGCCAGGAGACACATTAATGATCTGTTTTAGCTCTTTATAGATGGAGTTCCCCTCTGCCTTCCAAAGGTTCAAGTACAAATTTGGGATCCCTAGTCACTGTAAATGTTTCCAGGATGTGTTTTAAACAAGTTGTGTCCTGTATAATTGAAGACCTAGACATAAGTGATACAGAAGAAGAGGTGATTAAGACAGTGAATGGAGTGGAACAGGAAAAGATTTCCCAAGAGGGTGAGAAGTACTTTCATTGTAGAAAGGGAATGGAGTATAATCTGATTTAAACATAGTTTTTCAGGTGACTTGTAACATAAGACTTAACTTTACTCAGAGTAAAATAAGACTTAATTGAACAGTAGATGCTGGAAATAATTTAATTCAAGACATACTAGAAATACTTGGACATTTCCAGACAAGTTCTCTGAAAGTGGGCTGTGACTGGAAGTGGAGTAAAAGTTCCTATGTTTTGTCATATCTGTACTACTGCTCAGCTTCCCATAGGAAAGATGAAGAGCTCTCATCTGGCTAATCTAAGCTAGTTAATCACACACTTGTACTTTCCAGTGTGAAAATTCCAAATTGCTGGAGAGGATGGTAAAAGTGCAGTTTGACAGCTTTTAGTTCTGGACTCAGCCAAGATCTCCAAATCCTTTAGCAAGTGACAGCATTGTCATGTGTGTCATGATGTCAGAGTGCCCAATTTTCACAAAGTTATTACCTCTGTGGGTTTCTGCTTAACTGAGCTGCATAGTAACAGATATGTGGACTATATATGTAGTATAAAGGAAAAAGGAATACTTAAGTAGTCAATAGCTCAAGTTTTTAAACACAAGCAAGTCATGTGTCTTTATATTTCTCATCCTGCGTGCCAGAGGCTTGTCCTGGATGGTTAAAACCACTCTAGGCTCTCTTCTCTCTACAATGGAATATATCTCTTACGAAATCGTTTATTCAGAATAATGGAGGAAATTATGAGTAGAATCTAAGCACAAACTCCAGGTATTGTTAGATTTAAAGGAAAATAAATTGCTCTTTTACACAATTACCGGAATTGAAAATGGCCCTAGAGATGGCAGATCTGGAAGAGCTCTGCTTACTGTAAAATTCCTTCATTGAGATCTGATGGGCCCCTAATTAAGTGGCTGTGGAGCAAACAGAGGAAAAGTTGGGCATTTCTCAGCTGTGAAGGGAGCTGTATCTGCTTTTCTTATTTGCAGCTTATGGCTGAGTTTATTTATCACAAATTCTAGTGGTGGTTGAACTGGGTGTGCTGGTGGTTGGTTGGGGTTATTTTGTAGGTAAGATGTATAATAGAATTTCTTATTTTAGCTGCAGAACGTGGTGCAAGTGCTGTACATTCTGAACATTTGGAGAAAAAACTGTCTGAAAAAGCAGAATTGCAGATAACTGCAGCGCAGGACAGCAGAGGTGAAACAGAAATGGCTCCTTCAGCAGGAGAGGAACTGGAAGAAGGCAGCATTGGAGCCCACAGGTCTCCCAGAGCTGGTGAGGACATCTCTAATGCTGGCAGCTCTCTGTAGTGCCAGAGTGCTCTCATGCTGCATGACTGGCATCAGTGCTGAGAGAGGGTTAACTTCCTTTGTTTTCTGGAATCTGGGCTAATTACTGGGGAAATATCAAACTGATTTTGTCATTTTAAGCTGGAAGACTACATTTTATTTAAAGGTAAACCAAAATTTGATTTAGTTGGCAGTAGTATGGAGAAATGTGTAGTTAAAGCAGGTATCTTTGATTAAAATTTACTAGTGGAAGTTCCAGAATCAGGCAAAGATATTTGTTCACTGGTTTATTTTTCCTGTTTTGGAAGGTGAGATTACCAGAGGCATTGGAGCTGAAAGTGTGGCCAGGCACTCTCATGCCTTTTCCTCATCTGATAAACCTGAGATGACTCCATTAAATGAAGCTGATGAACAAGAAGATATACTACAGGACCAGGCTATGACGATAAATTTGGATAGTACAGTGGAAGAGCCTGCTGAGGATGAAGTTGAACACCCTGCAAGTCAAGGTAAGGAAGCTGCTCAGCACTTCTGTTAATAGTGGTTTGTTTTTTTTTTCCTGCTCTCACTTGTTAAGAAGTGAAGAAGTTCAAGAGTGGAGTTAAAGAAAATGCAGATTAGACTTGGAGGAAACCATGGTTTCATAGCAGAGAACAGGTGAGATGCTGATAACAGGAGCCTTGCCTGGAGAGAGTTGTGCAAATCTGCAAACAGGGAGAAGTTTATAGTCTGGCCCTTGTAATGTGACTCTAGCTCAGCTTGTCCCTTTGTTCAGGAGAATTTGCCAGTGGCTTAGCAAGATGACAGAGGTACCTTCTAGACTTTGAAGTTCTCTATGGTTAAAAAGGCAACCTAATTTAACCCAGCTGTCAGCCACTGCAGCCTGGTCCTGAGCGTGTGTCCCTGCAGCCTGGCCAGCCAGCTGGGCCAGCACAGGGCCCCAAGGGAAGCCATGAGTCTGAGTGCCAGGAGCTGTGGGGAGTGGCACTGCAGCAGCCAGCAGCAGTGCTGGCTCAGGGTGCTGTGGGGCACAGCCAGAGCTTGGGCAGTGTGACCAGGACCAGGCAGGGGGGGGAGCTGGCTGGGTTTTTGTCTGCTGTGGCAGCACTGCTTGCTCCAGGAGTTCTGGAAAGAGACTTCAGTTCCTTCAGTACTTTTTTTCCCCAGAGGTTTCCATGAAGACTCCTGCGTTTGTCCGTGCTCCGGCGCAAAAACTCCTGTCAACGCCACGTGTTGCAAAACCTGCTGCTCCAAGGTAAGCCTAAGCCATGTCCAGCAGTGGCCAGGCAGAGGTGGGGCTGAGGCAGAGCAGTGCTGAAGTCTTTGAGTGAATGTCAGTGCTCTTCCAGAGCAGGTCTGGTGCTTTTCAGTGAACATTGTTGTAATATTTTCTGTGCTAAGGCCAAAACTTTTCCTAGGAGTTTTCCAGCTGGTAAGCCACTCTGGAGCCATAGACTCCAGTAAGGGATGCAGAGGCCCCTGCAGAAGAGGGGGAATTACAGATGGCAAGACACTGATCACATGGAACGACATAGTTGTATTGACTGCAGAAGCCTAAAGCTGTGTGCAGTTGCCATGTGCTGATTAAAATGAAGCTCTTTTTAGAGGCAGAAAGTGAACCTGTCCTCTGCATTACTCCGAATTAGTTAACATTTGCACCCTCTTGACTAGAAATTTGGCTTCATCAGAACCACTAACAGTGGGGCCTAGGGAACAGGAGGAAATTCCTAGCCCATGATTTTAGAGCTTTGTCCATTAAAGCAATAAACAAGAAGACAAAATCCTTTTGCCCATGTATGGGTGGACTGGAGACAGTCAGGTGATCCACACACCTTCTCTGGGGTTTTGCATATGTTAGCCTGAGCTTGTAGTTTTTTTCTGTTGTTTTCCAATTATGTTCTGAGTGAATCCATGGGCTTCACTTAACTCTTCCATATTACATTTTTTCCTATTTTAGAATGGAAAACAATTGTTATTTCCTTTAGGACTTACAGTCTTGTTTAATGGTGGGGTAGGAAACCCTACAACCCACAAAAAAAGCCCCCATTGAAGTTCTTAACAGTGTAGAAGGATTTCCTGCAAAGCAGCCTCCCCTGTCCAAAGATGCAGAGGTGACCTGTGGTGCCTCAAACTTTGTGCACTACTTTAAAGGGAATGCTGCAGGGATGCAGTGGAAACTGCAGTCAGGTATTGGAGAGAACTCCACTTTGCTGACAGTGTGTTACATGAGCATTCTGGAATCAAGGAACCTTGAGCCTGGATTGCTTCTCTCAAGGCCATGATGCCACATGAAGTGTTTGCAAACTGCCCTGTGTGGGCACAGGAGTTTTGAAGAATTGGGAGGGAGAAAGAATTAAGAGCTCAGGGTAGTTTTTATCCCTTCCAGTTCAGCTTAGGGTTTCTCCAAACTCAACCTGGTGTTCTCTGCCTCTCCCTTGTTCATTCAATGTGTGAATTTTTTTTTCAATTTTCCTCAAAGTTCTCCCCTGAAGCTGCTGAAGCTTAAGACAGTTCCAAAGAAATTGAGAACATCCGAGAAGAAACCACGGGAGCCTCAAATACCAAGGAGTTTGATAAAGGAGATATTCAGACATTTTGCTAAAATGCCAGTAACCAGAGATGCATTCCAAATTGTTGAAAAATGGTATGTAGCAACAAACTGCTCTTTCCAATATTTTTACTGTTGAGTTTTTTTTTCTTTCTGTTCTTCCCTGAAGTAATAAACATGTTGGAAGTGCTGCTGACAAGCTGACGGCCCTCTCTCTTCAGCTGGAAAGTCTTGAGAGGCCTGATAAAAACAGGCAGAAATGTGCCAGGTGCTGTGTGTTGCTGTGTGTGTATCTGATCAGCACTGCCTTTCAGGAGCATCTGGGTTTTGTCCCAACAAATTTTAGCAGTCAGAGTCTTGTCTTTATCAATTTCCATGGGCAAGATGGCTCTGGACAGTGGTGATTGTGCTGGGCACAGTGAGGTTGTGCAGTGTTCCATTGGAATCCAGGTTTCTCAGCTTTTTGAATCTTTAGATCTTGTTACCTTCATGAGTAAAATTGTGTATTGTTTGAAGACTTGTTATGGTTTGACACAAATTCTTTTTCCGTGTCAAACCACAACAAGACTGTCACTGCAGCAGCCAATACCTGACCCTCAGTGCTGATTTCTCTGCCACTGGTGTCAAGCCCTGTTCCTGCACGTGTGGGAAGTTTGGGAAAGGTTCTGGTTGTGCAGCTGTTTCACAGCTGTCTTGGCAGTGAAGTTCCAGGGAGCCTGAGCTGAGAAGCCAAGCTTTGTTCATGGGCTGGAGAGTTTCTTCTTCCCAGTTTTCCCTGGCGGGCTGTGACCTGCACAATGTGCAGCTCTAGTGCAGCATGCCCTGCAGAAGGGGCTGAGTAGCTGGTGTTCACACGCTCCACAGTCTGCTTTGATTTCCCCCCTCAGCTCTGAGAGATACTTCAAGCAGCTGAGCAATGATCTGGAAGCTTACACCCACCACGCAGGGAGGAAGACAGTGGTGGCAGCTGACCTGGAAGTCCTCATGAGAAGGTAAATGAAGGGTTGTTACTAATCTGCACTAGTGTTTGGTGGTCTTTTATAGCCCAGTAACACCTGGTTGTTGCCAGAATGTGCACTAGCAGTGTTTGCATAGTAAGTGTGGGACTGGGATTTACTCTGAGACCACTTCTGTCCCAGGAGCATCCCTGGCCTTGGGTTGCACCACTTGGTGATGGTGGAAGGGCAAGAGGAAGTAGTGAGGGGTTCTGAGTGCAACAAGTCATCTGAGGAACCAAGAGGAGAGGGATTTGTGTAAGGGTGAAGCAGTAATGTTTGGAGAATGTGTAGAAGAAGTACAGAAATGCTAAGAGGGAGGCTGGGCTGCACTATGTGCGTCCTCGAGTGAGGTTTTTGCTAAAATCGTCTAAAACTGACATTGTGAGCATTTTCACATGTCCTGCTGTCTGTTTTGGTGACTTGCTCTTCCAAACAAAATACACTCTTCCTGCTGCTGCCCAAGCTGATACTTGGGATCCAAACTGACAGTTCCTCTCGAGAGCAGGAGAAAGAGCCCCCAGCCTGGGTGGGCAGGGCTGGCCTCTCCTAGCAGTGACATTCCTGGACAGCAGCCTGGAAGAAGTGTTCTCCGAGCTGCCTCACTGTTTTCTGTCCTCTGCACATTCACAGCTGCCCCGTCTCCTGCCTGGATTTACTTTGTTCTGTGACTGAAACACAAGGAATTTATTCTTGGGTTAGAAGCCCTTGTGAGGCCTGAAGCAATCCACCACTTTTCATTTAAAGTCATTACTCTGGGTGGTTGTTTTTAATCTCCACTGGAAGTTTCAAGTGTGATTTTAAAGTCACCTGGGGGATAGTACAGGGCACAGCTGATGACACTGGTTTTGCATGGGCCTCTGTAGGTGAGCTGATGCTGTGGCTTACAAAGAATAATCTGTTGCTGTCCTTACCCAGAGATTTTGCTTTCCCAGCTGACAGGTGTGTGCTGAGGTGGGTATGAACAGGCCAGGAGGCACAATGGGTTACTTGTCCTGGTTTGAGAATTCAATGTACTTGTTGCTTCACCTTTTCTAGATGTCTTTATGCCTTTTTACTGCCTCATAAAGAGATCAGGAATTGTTGCTGGCTCATGCATGAGAACAGCAGCTCTGTTCCTTCCACATGGGAGGTGTGAATAAATGTTGCACTTTCTTTCTTTTTGCAAAACTGGGAGATGTTGATTTTTTCAGGCCAGTCACCTAAATGGTGTACAGGAAAACTCCATGGCCTACACAGTTGGCAAATGTGAGGCCAATTCTATTTAACACCTCTGGGTTGTGACTATAAAAAAATCTGTGTACTGAGCTATTTCCTTCTGTCACATCATTCTGTGCACGTCTTCAAAGGGTAGAATTTATCCCATGGTAGGTGGATTGTGAATTTAAAAAGCAATGAGCCTCTACTTTGGTCCTGATCAATATAGATGAAAATCCCCATGGTAAACAGTGGGAAGCTCTGTGGGAAGCTGCTCTGCAGGAGCCCTCTGGGTCTGTCTGCTCTGCTGTGTGGGCAATCCTGGCATTGCACCATGCACAGGAGCTGAGATGCTGCCTGCAAACACGAGTCTGGAGCTGTTTGTCACAAAGCAGTCAGAGCATTTCAGCTCTTAAATGCAAAAACATCACTGCAAGAAAACTTTACTCTGATACTGAGTGGAAGCACATTTCACTAACAACCCTTGTTTCTTCCCTGCTCTCTCTGGCCAAAGGCAGGGGCTGGTGACAGACAAGATGCCGATGAACGTGCTGATCGAGCGCTTCCTCCCTCTGGAGTACCGCAAGCTCCTCATTCCCGTGGCAGTGAGTGGAAATAAAGTGATCCCCTGCAAGTGAAGGTGCAGGGCTTGGCCCTGTGGGTGGGCTGGTGGGCTGCTCCCAGGGGCTGCCTGTGCCTTGTGCTATGTCACTGCTCCAGGGGATGCTTTGCCACATGTAACCAGTGAGGCAGCCACTGCTGGATGCTCTCCTGAGTGGAGGCAGGTTGTGCTGTGGCCACCACACCACCCTACTGGGTCTCACCAGCCTTTGTGACACGCAATTTGACTATACATTGTTTTATACGTTACCTTTGAATACTTGTAAATAAAATGTTATGTGCATTTTTTGTGATGCCAGTGAGCTGAGAGGCTCCTGCATTGTGGTGTTCAAATTGTTCCTAGCAGGCATTTGGCTGTGTGGGTGCTGTTCATGCCAGCCATGGTGCCCCCTTGTTTTCCACTGCTGTTCCTGTACAGGAAGTTGCTGCATGGAGGAGCTGGTCCATGCTGTGCTCCTCACACAAAACAAAACAAAACTTTTGTGTGGTTGTACTGTTTCCAGGAGCCTAAACCACACCAGGAATGAGATCTGACACAGCAAAGGGTGCCAAGGATTGAGACTTTGTAGAATAGTTCAGAAGCTGGGAAAGAATAATGCCTGTCACATGTACCAGTTGCAGAGATGGAGTTGGATATTGGCCTTTCTCTTCAGGGTCCTTCTGGGCAGTCAGTGTGACACGGGTTGTTTTTCCCCATCTGAGGCTGTCCTAAATCCTGCTGCAGGTATGGATCCTCCCCTCTGGGTTGTGCTGTGTGTGCAGGAGAGCTTCCTCAAACTACAGCCAGGTGGCACAATCCACAGGGACTCCTGGAAATGCAGCCCAGCTCTTGGCAGCAGGAACTGGAAGTTAAACAGACTAAACACAAAAGGACACAATGGCCAATAGAGTTAAAATCTCTTCAGCAGGCAATGCCAATCCAAATGACAGGTATTTTTCAAGGATTTTATTTCAAAACATAACTCCATTAATACAACAAAGAGCATTTTTTGCTGATACAGTGTGACTGAAATGTTGGAGAGAAAAAGTGTCTTTTGAGAAGCTCTGCTGGGAGCAGCGTTTGTGTGTCCTGCATGGGTGGGATTTCCTTCTCCAGAGTTCACTTTCTTCTCACCAGAAGGTGCAGCTTCCCGAGGGGAGGAATGGAAGGAGAGGGTGCTTTCCACCTGCTGCCTGTCACGCTGTTGGGCTGACACTGGGTTTGGGTGTTCATGGGAATTCTTCAACTCACTGGGGCCTTTTCCTTCGAGTGGGTGTATTATTCCAAACAGCTGATAACTGTTAGGCTGGAGTCTCAGAGGCTGTAACTTTTTGCATCAAGCTGGCTTGTATGGATATCTAAATATATATATATTATAGCTGTAGATGTAATTAAATATATAACTATATAAATATTCTCCCAAGGAAGGGGAGATCGTTCTGTCAAGAGCACCTTGTGTCAGAGCTGTAACTCCAGTTGCAGATCCAGAGAATGCAGCTCTTGCCACAAGTAGGTCTCCAGTTGCTCATGGCTTTGGAATGATGACAAGGGCCTGTTTATTGCTATGGAGACACGGAAAAATAATGGAAACATGGAATTATGTGTGTCATACACAGAAGAATGAACTCGTACTAGAAGTCTGCTCAAGTATCTTGTTTTTCTTCGTGCTGGCCGTGGCTTCGGAGCAGTAGTTCAGTTTTTGTGGTACTCTCAAGGCATAATTGTATTTAAAAAAAAATACATACAAAGACGGTATAGCCGTGTGGACCCAGCTGGGAAGCAGAGGCAGCTCTGTGAGCTGCGGCGGCTCGGCCGGGAGCCCGTGGGAGCCCGTGGGAGCCCGCGGGTGCCGCCGTCCCGCGGGGCTCTGCCGCTCCGCCCGCGGCCCCGCTGCCGCCATGGCGCGCGCTCCGCTTGCCGTCACCACGGCAACGCCGCGCCCGCAGGCCCCCTGCGCGCCGCCATAGCTGCCCCAACACCGCCTGACACGCGGGCGCCGCGCGCCGGCCGAAACCGGCCCGTGAGCGGAGGCGGCCGGCGGGAGCCTGCAAGCGCTGGGCGGCCCTTGGGCTCCTGGCTGCCGCGGAGCACGCTGGGAATGGGAGTTTCGCGCCCCACGGCACTGAAGGGAGCAGAGGAGAACGGGAACACCGTTCCCAGCGTGCAGCGCGCCAAGGGGGGGAACGGGGCTTTGCACGCTCCGCCTCTCGGGAGTTGTAGTCTCGGCGAGAGACGGGGCCGGCCGGGCGGGAGCGGCGCGGACTGCGCTTCCCGTCGGGCGGCGCGGCCCCATTGTGGGCACGCTCGCAGCCCATTGGCCGGCGGCTGCGGCCGGGCCCCGCTGCCCGCCCGCTGACACAAAGCGGGGCCAAGATGGCGGAGGCGGGCGCGGGGAGCCCGCACGGCGGGGACGCGGCGCCGCCGGGGCCGCCCGAGGAGCAGGAGCTGAGCCGGCGCCTCCGCCGCCTCTACCCCGCCGTCAACCAGGACGAGACGCCGCTGCCGCGCTCCTGGAGCCCCAAGGACAAGTACAACTACATCGGCCTCTCGCAAGGCAACCTGCGCGTCCACTACAAAGGTGCCGGGCTGGGGCGGCGGCGCCGGGCTCGGCCTCGGCCCGGAGCGGGACGGCCCCGGCGTGGCCTCGGCCCGGCCGCTCGCGGGGCCCGCCGGGCGCGGGCTGAGCCGGCAGCGGGTCCGGCGGGCCGGGGGCGGGCGGCGCCGGGCTCCGGGCGCTGCTCGGGCCGGGGCCCCGGCCGGGCTCGGGGCGGAGGCGCCGGGGGGCCGGGGGCTCTCCCCGGCGGAGTGTGTGGCCTTGCATAACGCTGTGCTGTGCCGCTCGCCCGGGCCCGCTGCGGGCAGAGCGTCTGTTTACTTTGTCATCCTGCTTAAAAGCCAGCCGAGGGCTCCGCTGGCTCCGACACGCTGCCTAACCGGGGCTTTGGCTGCTCGGGTTTCCACCAAAGAGCTGCTCACAGACTTGGAGTGCGATGTTTTCCTTGCTCGCGGTTGGAGCTGTTCTCCCTACCCACCCAGCGGAGAAGTCATTATTCCTTTTCCTGCCTGGCTAGTAAACACTGATGTCATTCCCTTCTTGTGTAATCATTTTTGTCTTCTGTCTGTGTACGTTGGTCTTCACATTATGTCTGAAGGAAGGGGGAGAGGTGGTACTGAGTCTTTCTCAAAAACTTCGTAGTGAAAACAAAGAGAAAACTGAAATGCTGGTGCTGTAGGAATTGTTGTTGGTGGCAGTGCAGAGTTGTGTCCGCTGGTTCTCTGGAAGGTGTGCTGCAAATGGCTGGCTCCGTGTAGAAACAGGTCCCTGCTGGCTTCACACTGTGAGGTTTTAGATCAGGATATGTGAGAGGCCAGATCCCCTCAGTACTTACATTTCTGTTCTTTCTTAGGTCACGGTAAAAATCACAAAGATGCTGCCTCGGTCAGGGCCACTCACCCCATCCCTGCAGCCTGTGGCATTTATTACTTTGAAGTGAAGATCGTCAGTAAAGGTAGAGATGGGTAAGTGCCTCATTGCAGCTCAGTGCCTGGGGATGTGTGTCTGGCAGCTCTGCTGGACTCTGGCCTCCTTTCCAGAAGGGTTCTTGGTCCTGTGGCTGCAGCAGGCAGACTCAGCTTGGGCAGGTTTTGCCCTCCTGGTGAAGGATGGAAATGAGGTGGAATGCCCTGGAAGCAGAGGCACTGGCACAGCTGTGTCCTGAGCTCTTGGAGATGGGCACTTGTAAAAAATTCACTAAACTGGGAGGTCTCTGGTGCAACATGAATTAAAATAGGTTTCTTCTTGCTGGCGAGGTCTGGGCACTCTGATTTCTGGAATTGTGATGCCTCAGAAATGTAGTTAAGCAGAAGGGAGGAGCCTTGAGCTTAATTTTGGGCTGCTGCAGTGGTGTGATGTGGTGAGGAGTGCTGGAGCATTGGGGAAGGCAGTAAAGGGGCATTTTTAACAAAGTCTGGAGTTCTCTTGTTAACGTGGGTTTAATTTTTACTCATTATGCAGGTGTCAGTCTGCTCTGTGTGGATGGCCCTGGCATTGTTTATTGTTAAAGGATGAATATGGCAGGAATAATTATCTGGAAGGAAAGCCACACAGGAGGAGGGATTGGATGTAATTAATTAATCCAGTTGTTCAAGTGTGACATTTGAACTCTGACCAGTTTAAGGGTTCTGGGAAGGCAGCAGATGTTCCTACTAAAAACCAAATGAAAGTGACAACTTGTTACAGTTGAATTTTTTTGCTGTCATTGTTGAAGTGAGAAGTGGCCTACTTGTAAAGAGGCATGGAAGGATCTCGGTTTGTGCTGCATTTAGGCCCTTGATAATTACTGGGTTATCTGCAAAGGTGGATGCTGGGCTGAATTCCTTATAAATGCAGGAAAAGACCATCCTTATTCCTTCATTTCACTGACCTGGCTATTAACTGCTTTGTCTGTTTTGAATCACTGCTCTTGATTAGTTTATGCAACTGCTAAAACGAAATAATTTGCAGTGAGCTTTGAGACAGTTTTCCAAAGAAATCACATTACAAAAGGTCACTGAACAGCACTTAATCTTTACTGCAGTCTAGATCAATTTTAAAGGGAGATAATGGAATTTTCTGCTTGTCTCTCAAGATCAGAGTTTTCTGTATTAATGATTTGTTGGTTTTATTGTATTCTGTAATTACAGTGACTTTCCAGGAAAAATTAATTCCAAAGAGACAGAACCATGTGTGTTAACACAGCAAGCTGAACAGGAGCTGCTGATAGCTCTGATCTGAAGTCAGGCAGTGGCTTTGAGAGCCTCTCTGATGTTCCAGCCATTCCTCTGCGTTGTTTTTCTTGTGCTGGTGGAGACAGATCCAGCTTTTATCTTGCACAGGGTGGTGCTGGGGATTTGTGGTTGTGAATTGCCATTGTAGCTGCTGCCTGGCTGTCACTTGAGAAGGTGTTTTTGTGTCTCTCACCTTTAATGGTTTGAATTGTTCCTGCTGGAGGCTCAGTGTGTTGTACTAGTGAACCGTGGCAGAGATCTCTTCTGGGGAGGCTCCCCAGTCTTGATTCCGTCATGGTGACTTCAGTTCAAAGGATTGCAGGTGCAGACATCTAAAGAAGGGATTGAGGGAATGAAGTTCTCAGGCAGTGTCAGTGGCAAATCCTGTCCATAAGAAGAACTCTTTAGCAAGGGGAGAGGAAGAGCAATCCTGAGCTCATGTTCAGAATGGCTGTTTCAGCCTCTACCTTAGAGCTGGTTATATGACTTCTGTATGAGGTAAAGAGGAAAGAATGTGAAGTTACTCCCTGCATATCTCTTTCTGGATTTTGTGAT